TCTCAAGGTAAAATTTTGAATGAATGCAGTGTTTTTATTCCTAGAACAAGTCATATTAAAACACATAATATTTCCAAAACAAGACCCAACTATTAACATAGTTTTGTTCCTGTTTGCTGCTTAATAACGTTCTATAAAATAATATAAATTATATCTTCAAGCTAACATTTTGGTTCTTTATTTGAAAGAAATTAAACTGCGTCCTTCTCCCTTTCCGGAGTGTTGCAGTTTGAATTTTTATTTTGTTAGGTGACAAAAATGCAGACTTGTTAAAGCCAATCTTTTTAGACTGAATTTTTAACTCCTTCATCAATATTTTAATTCACTGAGTAGAAAATGCAGGGGAGTTTTTCTGGCTGAAAAGCAAATCAACCCAGAAATATTTGATGAGTGTTCTCCCCCCGCCAAAAAAAATACTTGCAAAACAATGGCACTGGTACAGAAAAATTATGCACTGAATAATTTCTCTCCCCATTTTTGTTCTATATTGTAATATGCTAACTCTTTTCACTGTTGAATAAATTACAAAAAAAGACATGTAAACTTTTATGATGGCACCATCATGAAACACTACAATGCAAATGAATCATAAAGGTATTTGTGTATTGCTCTTAGGATGAGTGCTAAGCTCACAGGGGCTTAATAAGTCACCAGTGAGATTCCTGAGAGGTGGTGGCTTCCCAGGATCCAAAACAGGAGCATTACTTGCCACTCAGTATTTACCCATGGCAGCGCACTGCCACCATCACCACCGTTCTCTGCGTATTTAGCTGGTATAAATTAAGCATTCCAGAAGTGACAATGCTTGACAACCAAATGCATAAAAGAGTAAACAATTAACAATCAAAATAAAGAAACAGCTGTTAGTTTCTTTTTATATAAAATTATATCTAATTTACAATAAATGCCAATTAAAATTATTAACCAATATACATAAATCTCCTTGGCTTCATTGTCAAAGCGCTATGTAGACTGCAAAAATCCGTAAGATTTTTGAATGTATTCTTGCAGGTTTTCTTTTTCTTTCTTTTTAAAAATCTCAATCATGAATCCGTAAATTCATGAGCACACTGCTTCTTTCTACTCAGTAAAGGTAACCATGCCGTCAAAGTGAAGCCAGAGGGTGTTAGTACCAAGAGCAGTGCTAATGATTATTTCCATTAAACCTAATGATCCCAAAAACTCAATGGAACTTGATCTTACAATCATCGATAATCTCTCAGATTAGCATGTTAAAAGCTTTAATGGACAGAGGTGCCAAAATGTAGTTTTAAAAGCAGTGACTTCTCCTTTGGTTGTTGAGAGGAAAGGATTAAGTACTGGATGAATAACTGTCAACTGAAACCTTGAAATGTCACCGTTACTAATGTATTCTAATGACATGCTGTGGTATGTATTCCATATACCAAAAGAACAACCCATCTTGTTACTTCTTTATTACCATTGCTGTCATCTTTGAAGTTATTTCAACTTAAGTGATATGAAGTTCATTTATAAGAAGTGATTTGTGATGGTCTGAGATACCAATTACCCCACATTTCACTTAGCGCTCTTTGTCAGCTCTCTTACTTTCCCGTTAACATTAGAGAAATCACAAAAACCTTGCTTTACTGACCAATGGTGCTCGGCCAGTTAATCAAGTAGTTAACTCTTCATTGTTTACGGGGGAAGGGAATGCATTATGTTTTGCCAATTCCATATTATGAGCATATCTTTTTGCAATTAAAATTATAAGGTTTCTTTGAACTGCTTTTCTTACTTCACATCAGCACTAGGAAAATGGTATCCTTATGAGATCAGTGTTTTGTTCAGCTAAGAGACATTTACCAAGTGTGTGCTGTCTGCTAACTCTTATGCATGGAACTGAGACTATGGATAAGCTTCAGTTCACCCCCAGAGAGCTGCGTCCAGCACAGACTCACGGAGACACTCAATTACTGTGCAGGTGATACTCAGTGTTAGTGCAGGCTGTCACAGGAGGAGAGGAGGGTGTGGTGCTCCTCGGGAAGGCTCAGGAGAATATGTGCCGGGTGGTTGGACTGAATTCTAACCAATGAAAAATGGCCCTCGGTAGCACAAGACGGGAAATCAGCGGGTGCAGGAATGCACGAGTTGGTTGGTGTGGGCTTGGCACTGCGTGCAAAGCGTGCAGTCGTTGTGAGCACAGACTGCTCTGGTTCCACCTTGGGAAATGACTTAACCTTCCATGCCTCAGTTTACTTATCTGTAGAAAAAGCATAATGTGGACATCTGCAAAGGACTGCTATGAAGATAAGTGAGTGTTTTTTATAAAGCACATGGTATGAGAGCTTTAAATGTTCGCTGTTCACCGAGTGAGAATACAGGGCTCTTGGTGGCAGAAGGGAAGGTGACCCAGAGGGAGGGTATAGATGAGCTAGCGACCGCTCAGGGTTGTGGCCGGATAGTCAGTAGTTGCTTTACGGCTTTGAAGAGGACTCATCTGGGGAGGCTGCAGAGGGCTGCAGTGTGAGCCAGGAGAGGAACCAAGAGGCTCTGGACACTCTATGGGGACCACATGTGCTGAGCCAAGGTAAGGGGAGTGCGAGGGAGAGAAAAGGACACATGTGGGAAAGGTTTTGGAGACAGGGTGATGGAGACCAGAAATGCACCAGTGATGGAGTCAGGAGAGCAGTGGCCTGGGACGGAATGGCAAGTGCTACACTCCATCACAGGGCCAGCTGGAAAAGAAGCCTCCTCGGGTTTCTGGTGTTTACAGGCACATCGAGAGTGCTGAAAGTACTCCCTTCACAAAGTGAGCTCTCTTTCACAAGGTGCAATGACTTGATTGTGAGAAACATTATGGAGGCTCAGAAGTATCAAATATAGTTGCAGAATCCTGCCACTTAGCCTTGGAGTTTGCAGGTCTGTCAGAGACCTTTAATTTCAATTATGATACTCAAAATGCAGAAGGCTCTTTTGACCAGAGAGCTTTAGTTTTCATACAGAAAATAAAGAGACATGCTCGCTGGCCTTGTTTCCCCCTGGTGTGATGTGTTATGTGATTCTCTGACAGCACCACACTTACAGCTTCGGACATGTGACACTGCTGGCACAAGCAAGAGGGGTAACACATCTGAGCTCATGGGCAGCACGTGACAGCCAAGCTGCAGAGCAGTGGCATCTAGGACAGGTGCTCCTTGGAGTGGAGAAAGGACTGCTTTCTCTATTTTTAAAGTGCAGGTAAGTCAAAATTTTGATAATTATATAGAAAATGCAAAAAAAATATGCTCAGGGATCTAAGATACAATCAAGCAACTATTTATCATCATTAAAATGGTCTAATCGAGTGTCTTTGTTTCCTTCAATTTTTGAATCAGAAGAGTCTCGTGCCTGTGCCAGAGGTCTAAGGTAGGGTCAGCATTCATTCATTTCTTCAAATTCTGTTAGTTTAATGATGCCGTGACCTATGTGTGGCAACCTTCTGTGCTTACAAGACCGTCTCCTGTACCCGCGGAGGACCATCAAACCTAACAGGTGGCCAGGGAATTGACAAGGACAGAAGAAATCAATAACCAAACACTTTTTAGTTGCAGTATAGAATTCTGAAGCATTCTAACCTGTGAAGTGGTAACAAGAGACCATTTCTCCCCAAACTCAGGGACCCACGGTTTATACAACTTTACTAACTGTCATCTTTACCAGGGCTCTTTCCGGCAGGGTAAGCAGACTGATAGAGCCTCAAGGGATCCGGTAAAGCATCACAACTTCTGAACAATTTTCTGTGTGTTATGTATTGGTCTTCGCAACTACTCATTTCTTCATCCCAGTCAACGTCTCCACAGCATTTGGAGATCTGAATCCTGGAAATCTCAGTCTGGACTTGATTTTGGTCTCTAATGCTGAGGCTAAAAATCACACAGAAGTTTTTGAGGAAGAAAAATAAGCACTTCATTTTGGAGTGCAGAAAATATTACCATCGAGTTTACTCACTACTATGGCTCTACCTGTTTTTCAGAAGATGTTTCAAATAGGGCAGTAGGGTGCGGGTTGGGTTTGCTAATGTGCTGTAGGGTTCTAATACTTTCCTTCATCATTCCCTGACTTAGGGAAGAACCAACATTCAGAGGAGAGAAACTCTACCCCCAAATGGATATATTCATAAAAATGTTTTTTGTTTGTATGCCAATTTTTCTTTTCTTATAATTAGCAGGCTATTACATTTGGCCTTGGAAAAATATTTTAATTAGGCTGTCCACAGATATTTTGATAAACTTGATTTTTTTGACATTTCAAACATAATCCTGTGTCATTCATGCCTGCCTCTTGCTACTTTAAATGTATAGTGTGCTCCAGCTGCAGAAATTACCATGGTTACTTGTTATGCCAATAATGAACTATAGTTGGCACTTAAAAGCATTGTTCTATCTTGCCTCTGCATTGAAAATGACATCAATATCTGAATAATTGCAATATTATGAATTAATATGGAATCCTGGAAAATGTCTATGAAACAATTGGTAACAGTGTCAGAAGTTTTTAAGAACTGAAATGTATTTTAACGTTTTTTTGGTGGGTCCAATTACATTGATGCTCTTAGAAACCTCATTTTAATGCTAAATGTGGTTTAATTACCAGTGTTACGAAGAGGTTGCAGTTTTTCTCCTTCCTTTCATTTACGTTCACTCTTTGAGAATTGTATAGGACTTCAGTACTCCTTCAGGTGAAAAACGATTCATATTTAATGTGAAATGAGCCAACACACAGAATATGGCTTGCTCAAGATGCTCATGGCCTCGGCATGCAGTTGATATGGCGATAAATTGCTATGATTAGCCTGCTGCTCAGCTGATGTTTTATTAGGGAAGGTTCTAGGTAATAAACAGTTTTCTTTTAAGTTATTATTTAACTACTCCAGCTTCAAAAAGTGCTTTAGAAAATCTGGGGGCCATTGTTCCACACCTGCCACAGACCTCTCCACTTCAATCAGCCAGCAGAACCTGGATAATGATACCCACTGCAGCCCAGGGGCCGGCACTTACCTGCGCTGGTGCCTGCACCGGATGTAAGGTCTCCGCCCATCAGACCACCTACGGATGAAAGAAAGACATCAAAAAGGGAAGGGAAAAGCCCACAGAACAAAACTGTGTCCTCTCTTGAGAGTCATCAACTTGTAAAGTACTACCCAAGTCAGATGGCTGACATTTGTGTTATTGTGACATGCTGTGTTCAAATGTTAAAAATACATTCAATCACTGACATTTTGCACCACCTTTTTTTTTCTCCAGGAAAGATTACATTTTAAAAATCCAGTCTTTGAATAGTCTCTGCATTTTTATTATTTCTAAGTCTAGGTCTTTCCTAAATAGATGCTTCATAGAAAGTTCAAGAAAAAAAAAATAAAAGAAAGAAAGAAAACCAAAGGTCTGCTGCCAGTAGTTTTCTATAACCACTTACACCTTTAATTTTATACTCTCAATTTTATAGAATGCGAATTGTACAAAATTTTAATCATTTCTTAAATCTGCCCATATCCACTATTTGAATTTTACTTGCTGACACAGTAAACAAGTTTTTGCTGCCTCAAATTTAGACATATGCTTATTCACTGCTAATTTAAGAAAGTTCATTAAAATTTGGCAATGTTTATTTATGAGAGTTGGAATATTTCAATAAGATGTGAAGCATAATAATTACTTTTAATTTTTAATGAAACAAGACCTAGTCAAAAATAGTGGGAATATCACCCAGATTTTCTAATTGATTGTACAAAATACTTTATCTCTATTAGTTGGCTCAGGTCATCATGGCACTAGAAGAAATTACACTTTAAGAAAATATTTATTACTTTCCATCAAATACTGTTTTGGAAATAAAACAGCAAAATTTAAAAATGAGCATGAGTTTATCAAGCAGGAAATTCAACTGTATTTGACTATGACCCAAAAGAGTATATATATTGAAAATTCATATGAAAACCTTCAAACACACTAAAAAATAGAGAGAATGGCACAATGAAGTCCTTTGTACACATTTCCCAGAGTCAAGATTTATAAAGCCTTCTACAGGAAAAATTCTTCCCTGAATAAACCGCTTTTAACATAGTCGTCTGTTCCTAAGGTATATTAAAAACTTCCTACGGTGTGGGTTTCTTAAAAATAAAATGTAAATACATAATGGTGTACTGTATGTGACTTAGAAATACAATTATTTTTGATGCTGCTTCTGGAAACATAAAGGAACAATGTAGTTACATTCAGTATACGTTGAATTGGATCCCACTGTGAGCCTGGCAAATCAAGAGAGTATTCTTCCCTCCAAGATTCTTTAAGTATAGCCGAGAAAGAAGCAGACACATATTCAATACAGTATATCACAGTGTATTTAGCTGAACCTGAGCGGTCAGAATGGTTGGACTTTTTCTGAGCAATAATGTTATTTTTCTAGTACATTGTAAATTGAACAATAGCAAAAGCCTGTTAGAGACGCAGAGACAGATTTGCGCCACATGTACATGAGCTGGCGATGTGCTCTTCATTTCTGACTCAGCTTTGATTTGATTTCACACATATAAATCATGTTATCCGAGTTCCTCTCCACTGCCAACCCTTTCTGGGATAAGTTATTGTATAAATAAATAAGAACTGATTGCAATAACAAGTAACCGAATGGATCGAATGCTATCAGAGGACACAGGGCAAGGGTGGTATCTTTGGTAGCAGGAAGACAGAAAACAGGAGTTGAGGGAGGAGGAGAGTGGAAGCCAAAAGGCACAGAGAAGATCTGTGACATCTCCTTTGGGAAAGTCGTGGTTCAAACATAGCTCCACGAGGAGACGAGTTATGGTCTGAAAAGACAAATTAGCACTCGGGAAGATTCTGAAGCACGTGGTGCTCTAGGATTCAGGCTTCAGCACGGGAAGCCCTGACACTGAGCGAGCTGAGGCCAAGCAGGGAATGGGGCTGGGGGCCCTCTGACATCTACCTGTGTTGCCTGCACTCGGAGGTCGGTGTGTCACGCCAGGAGACATGCTATTCCTCTGCAGGGACGGGTGGGCCAGAGGCAGAAGGTTGGGATTCCCCAAGGAGCTGACAGGGTTGCTGTAAACCAAGCTGTTGTGGCTGGACACTGGGATGGAGACGGGCATCTCAAAATTAGGAGGTGGAACGGCCTGGCAGAAGAGAGAAAAAAAGGGAACAATCCCCCAAACATAGGTCAGAGAGAGGAACAATGACAGAAGCTTTCAAGGTCAGTCAGTTTCTACTTTCCCAAGAAAACACGCAAATCCCCAACTGCTTGGTGCTTAGAAGACCATTACGAAGAGTTCTCCAAAATGTTTGGATCGTAAATTGATTTCTTTAATGTGCTCGGAACACTTTCTTTGCGACTATTAGAAAAGGTTTCAAACAAAGCCCCATTTCATCAGACTCCATTGTCTTTGAATTCCATTCTATTAAGTAATAATTGTGCATTTGTGATATCTGAATCTGGTGCCAGAAACGACTGCAAGATCAAAGGTTCATGATGGTGATGACTTCACACAGAGAAAGGAGGATTAAAATGCAAACCAGATCTTGGGGTTTAATTGCTTATTGAAGCATATTTATGCAGAAGTTTAATGATACAAAATCATCTCCAGGCATGTGAACGGCACATATAGTTCAATTATTATTTTTAAAAGGTCTGCCTTTTAAAAGTAACTCTAAAGATAATAGAAATTTTAAGACACAGATTTCAACAGAGCAATATCACTCGGTAGCTCACATTTTAAAATGACAGTTCAGAAAATATATTATGCTTCAAATTTTGATATGTACTACCATTGATGAAGAGCAGGATCAGTATCTTAAGTGAGAGAGTTGGCCAATATTTAGTGAATTGAAACTCTGTGGATGTCTACAGTAATTTAAATCCCTGTTAATGATTTTGGGAAGTGTTACTTTGACAACTCAAACTATGTTTCTGCTTATACCAACTGGTTGTAAATTTCTCTCTTCTCTCTTTCTCTGTCTCTGGCTCTGTCTTTGTCTCTGTCTGTCTGTCTGTCTGTCTGTCTGTCTATCTGTCTGTCTCTCTCTCTCCTCTCTCCTTTCCCTCTTTCTCCCTCCTCAGCACTGTAAGTGAAAATATTGTTTTAATATATTAGCAGGGGTCTCGTGGTATCAGAGCATATAGAATATTAAAACTAATACTACACACACTCATAGGGTTTATATGTCATGAAAGTTCAAATGCCTGTGTACACATGGCTTAGTTGGTTTGCTTTCTTCTTCTTCTTCTTCTTCTTTTTTTTTTTCCAGGACTAACACCAACTACCTAGCACTGGTTGACTGGCTGGCCTGCACCTTATAGCATGCTCTGTGGTTCTTTAAGGTCTACCCTGGTGATGATTAGAGTACTGTCCTCTGTTTATGTTTAGGCTCCCATATTCTTCAATTCCTATTTATCTTTTCTTCCATGACCTGTGTCAATATTGATAAGAGCAAATGTTTTCATTGTATATGTCTTTGATTCTTTACTGTTTTTGAGGGAAGTGACAGTGATGTGATATGGTAATATAGACATACTTTTCTAAGTCTCTCGTGCTGTAAACAGGATAACAGAATAATTTTTGGATGAGCACCATGACATAGTGGAAAATAAATCTTTGGTAAGATGAAAAAGCGTGCCCATACTCTCAAATTCCCTGAGCCCCTTTAAACAACAAAAACTAGCAAAGTGTATGCTACAAAACAAGTGTCTACAGATTTCATAAAAAGGTGCACTAAGCACGGCTGCTGCACACCTAGATCAATCTGGTGCAGCGGTGGATGCCATGTCCTCTGTGGGTCCCTCCAACTCTGTCTCTGTCCTCCTCACTCTGGACCCAGGAGCCGACCCCGAATGGCGTGAGTTAGACCCTGCTCTCTGCCTTTAGGCTGGCCAGGGGAATGAGCAGCAGCACGGACAGTGCAGAGGAGAGGTCAGGGATTGCTGTCCTGCAGTCGGATCCCCCATGCTGGGCCACAGCTGTGCTGGCAGACACTGCATTCCTCCACCGAGACCACACGGCTTCTGGGTCTCTCTCTCCTACGGGCACAGGTCTTGCTGTGCTTGGATAATTTCTCCCTTCTCTTGTTCCTTTAGGCCTAAAGCTTACAGCAGTGTCTAGAGTGCTGCCCTGGTGTGCCACACTGTTGTCTCAGGCTGTCCTTAACTGTACCCATCTGTACATAGGCCTTGTAATGAGCTCTTAACAGGGTATCTTTAGTGACCCTTGTGAGTTTGCCACCTGTTTCCTGCTAAGACCCCAGGTACTGCTCTCAGCTGAGAAAACAGTACACTTCAGGGGCATTCTGGGAGTCTGCTGTCTCTGGTGTCATAATCAGTGTGTTTGGGGGGACAATACCCTGGTTCTGGTACTATTATCTTTCACCTGGATCACTGCCATTATGGCCTCCAAAATGAACCCACCCTGCCCTTGTTCTCATTTTGATTTTCAACCTAACAATCAGCTTAGTTTTTTAAGAGCAGAAATCAGAAGATGGCAGAGCTCCGCTCACAATCCTAGGAGAGCTCTCATCTCACTCAGAGTAAAAGCCTCACTTCTTCTGGTGGTCCACGTGCCCTGTAGGTTTCAGTTTTTACCAGCTTCCATTATCTCATCTCTGTCACCCTGTTCCTTCCTTTTTTATTCTTGACTCACTGCCGTGGTGACCTCCATCACTTCCTCCAAATCACTGCTCAGAACTTTGCCTTCTTAGGGACTCCAACCCGGATTACCCAACTTATTCCCTCAATTTTGTGTGGGTCCCTTACCATCTCCTGATCTCTCTCCCCTGTGCTCACTTTCCTCTCTCATAAGATCCATTAAGAGGTTGGTCAAATAGTGTCCTTCTTCATCAAGAAAGAGCTCAAGCTCTTAAGGCAATGTAAGTCTATTCTACTTTTTATTTTCCTTTGGAGAAAACATTTTAGGAAGATACTATACTAATACAAAAATATAAGTTTACCGTTTACCATATATTATTTATTGTGCAGGTACTGGATGGCATAATTTACATTCATGGTATCACTGAACTCCTTCAACGTCTTTTTCTTGTAGATATAATCCTTCCCTTTTCTAATTGATGAGATTTGGTAATGGCTCAAAAGCGAGTCATTTGCAACTGAGTTCCTTGCTTTTGCCATTAGATCACTCTGTTGCATAGTGTAAGTTTCGGACACAAATAGATGTTGCAGAAAGAAATCACACTGCTAAGTGATTAAGAGCTGGATTGCTAGTAGCCTAGGATTTGGGAGCCATATACTGAAGAACTAAATAGGTTTTCATGCAATAAGCATGAGTATTCACAGTGCAGTGACTGAGGTCTTCGGAAAAAAATAGACCTTACAGATTCCTTTCTTCTACATTTATTTGAGAGTTTGTATTTTAAATGTTTTGGTTACAATTGTTTTAATTTGTATTCACTGTTCCCAAAGATCAGGAAAAAAAATGTATCTTCCCTGAATATTCTACAGAATGTTGGCTCTGTCTCAATTAGAGAACAAAATTAGTCCATTTTGCCCTCAGGGGGCTTTAAAATACAGAAGATTATTAATAATTATGTATACATTCTGAATTGTTCTCCTTCCTTCCTCTGACCATCATTATTCCCCCAAATTATTTTGTTTCTACTTTTCTGGATCATAAAGAATTTGATGATGACTACTATAAAACTCAATTGTGATTGGCTAAATGGGGGTCAGATGTAATTCTAATAGTAGAGCACATTCCCAAAACTTTAAATAAACAAAATATATACCAATATGTCATGCCTTGGTCCTTTTGTTTTTTTATCTGTTTTAGGAATTGGCCATGATAATTCTGAAAGTGAAGTATGAGTTTATAAATGACCGCACTGAAGAGTTATTTTTGAGAATCTTAATTCAGAACATTAAATCAGAAGGAACATTAATCTTTCTATTGGAAATCTCAGTTGCAATCCAGACTGTGAAATAAATTGTCATTTACCTGGGCAGGGTATTCAGTCTCCCTCAATCTTGATCTCCTTATCTGAGGTAGGAAATAGTTGTATCCGCAAAGAGACCAGCCAGGGGAATGCAAGAGTTAGAGTACCACACACACATTCCCAGGAACTTGGCATTACTATTTTTCTTCTAGGCTTTTCAAAATTAGGAAACTTAAAAACAGCTATGCTTAAAAATTTTTGCCTAGAAAAAGAAGGCCAAGAAGTGGTTTAAAGTTCTAAACTTGCAGAGAATTCAAGGCCAAGCTCCAAATTGTTAGAATAATCAAGTCTGCCAGGGAGCATAGGAGGTGATTAAATAAAGTGCTGGAGGCAGGACTGGCTGTAGAATTTGCAGAGCCCAGGTCAAAATGAAAAGGGGTTGGAGCTCTTGTTTAAAAAAAAAAAAATAAAATAAAAGAATTTCAAGCCGTGGACAGAGGAGCCTGAACCAAGCACAGTCAGTGAAGGCAGGGCTGGGTCGCTGCCTGAGAGGCTGGTGCTGGGGTTAACAGGCACACATCTCATAACTAAAAAGCTTTGATTTCCCTCCCTAAACAAAGGGGAATGGTGGTTACTGAAGTATACCGTCTCATCCAATACCAACTGGTTTCTCAGACTCACCACGAAGAAAGCCCAATAAAAATCAAATAGTATATTTTAATAAAATATCTAGCTAATGGGACCACTTTTATTTAGTGTGAATGACTGAATGGAATCCCCTTTTATTAAAAAGAAAACCTGCCACTAATGATACCTTAGATTGGGAACAACCACTACCAGGTGGTAGAACCCTGGGCAGAGGGCAGAGTCTCGCAGTTCTAGTGACTGGGGATGACCAGTATCTGTTTCCTCCTGGTTGCCAGATGCCTGAAGGATCCGCTTGCTCAGCCTCCCTCTGGCTTAACCCCTCTGGCTGTCACACTGGCATCGTCCTCCATCTCTCTTCCCTCTAGGTCTGCACAGGTTAAATGCAGCCCCCACGCGGTGGGCCCTCCTTGCTCCCCCTGCCTCCCACCTCTGGACAGCCCTGGCTTCCTCTCACCCAGCTCCAATCCCACCTTCCTCTGGATAGTCCTTCCTCCTCTTTTTTTGAGGCTTTTTACTATTTTCTCCCCATTGCACCTGAACATCGGATCTTTTCCTTTTGCCCAAGCATCCTCCCTCTGCACAGAAATAATCTACAGTGCTTTTCAAGGCAGCGCCCCTTTTGAACTGAGGCACAGCACGCTTCTCCGCACAGTCTGTCAGTCTGGGCAACACACGCCTTTCTTCCACTTCCTCTCTTCTCCTTCACTTTAACCAGTCTTGCATCTGCCTCTCCCCATTCAGCCCATTTCCCAGTTCCTGCTTCCTTAAATGGAGCTGTTTGTGCTTGCTATGAAGCCCAATGTGAACTGAGCCAACCCAGCATGAGGAAATGCTGGTCGACAAGATTCCAAATCGCCCGTGAATTATTTCATGTAATTGAGGAACATGGGCATAAATTATATTACTCCAACAGGTGACTGTTATATTACATTTTCTATGTTAAAAAGGAAACTCTTCAAACTGGGTCTCGGAACTAGAAAAACAGTCTTGTAATGTTTTTAAAGAGGCGGAGACACGCTCCACACACAAGGGGCAGAGTGTCCTTGCCCTGCTGTAAATGTTTTAGCAGCTGTGGAGACTTTCAACAGGACAGCCTTGCTGCAGCGGTCAGCCATGCGCCCAAACTCGGCTTTGCATCATGGAGACACCAGAGACTGTGGCCCACCGAGCAGTGGGGTGGCTCCTTCTCACAACTCTGCCCATAAACTGGCCTGTGGTTTCCCAGCCCCTGCTACATACCGTGGTACTTCTTAGGAAATCATGTGTTTTGATTTTGCTCTTTTTACACACCACAGTGAAATACTGTGAAGAAGTCCAGGCATCCATCACACCATCTCTGTTCCCTTCAATATGGGGAAATGATCCAGTGGTCACCCCTCTGGTAGTGTGGAGGTTAAATCTGTATCTATAGCTAATATCACCTCCACAGACAGTGAAGAGCAGTACTGCATAGATTTTCTTTCTTCCTCACTGTGCAGAGATTTCTTTTATCAGAGACATCTAATGTACTTTGCTTTAAAATTCTATACTCACAAACCTTTGTACACAGTGACTCCAAACTAGCAAATAATACAGCAAGAACAACTGAGACCATGAGAATCAAAAGTCAGTTAAAAGGAGCTATTTCTTCCCTTCCTCTGAGCAAGATAAAATCCCGGCGGATATTTTGTCTTTTAAGGATTTTGAGTATTGTTAACAAGCATGCCTGGTGGTCTAAGAGAAGAAATAATTCATTGAATAAAGTGCTCATTGTGAATGAGCTATATACTGTATTTTAGTTTTATGAAACCTTTAAGAATTTATAGCACAGAGCCTTCCTTCATGATACAGTGTGTTAATAATTCTGATTCAACAAAAACTCCACTGCTGACATTATTTCACTCAACAAAAGAAAATGACATGAATTTATAGGGATAGAAAATTAAATATGCATCCCTTTTATAAATAAGTTTTAAACTGATTTATAAAATTAATTCGATGAAGTTTGAGTGTGTACCTACTATGGGAAAGCATGAATTTATCTTGTGAATGTGGTTGTAGACTTGGCCTATAGCATTTGTCTCCAAATATCTACAAATATAATTTGCAAAGCATATTTTCATTATAGAGACACTCTGGGTATTCATGTTTAGACAGTTTTGCTAACTCACCAAAACAATGCACTTTTTTAAAGGGACCAATGAGGAGGTTGTGTATTGTTGGGGTTTGGGTACTAACATGAGTTATTCAGAAAGCACATGAACCTCGAGTTTCCTCCCTGTATGCCACAAAATTAACACTGTTTGGTTGATGATAGAATACAAGAAGAATATATATTTTTCCCCATACATGTGGGCAAACAAAATAACACATGCGGAGTTACTTCTCTTAAATATCTGGCCAGGCATATGATTGATTGTTAGAAATTTTTTTTTGACTCGGTTAAGACAAAATTTAGCCGAATGTTAAAGCATGAAAAACACTGGCGTAGGCAAAGCAAATAATATTCTGAGAAAAGTTTAACATCACCCCAGCACACAAACGTCGACATCTTACCATTCTGTTTCATGCAGTCTGTTCCCTGGAGCGAGCCTTAGCTTTAACCCTTCAGTGCAGTTGGCTGAGTTTCATGTACAGGGGGAGGGCCTGCTTTTAGTCAGGTGGGGTCCTCAGTCTATAGGAGAGAATTCCAGTTCCACTGCGGGAACCTTGTCTCAGCATACGCTGTATCTATGCAGTTTCTGGCAAACCTTCACACTTGTTTGGAAGGCCTTTTCTGTTCTAGGGCTTTACTAGTGTTTCGTGATTGGTGTGAACTGGGTGTTTCAAAGACTGTGTACATTTGGGGTGTGTCATATAGATCTTTCTCTTCCTCCTGAGCATGGCTTCTACCTCAGAAGGAACTTCTTGATGGCGACTCTTGGAGATTACATAAATGCAGCCTCCCAAAAGGCTGGCTTCTTAAATGCACAGCCGGTGGGAGGAGATGGCTCTACTGGATCTGTCTGTCTTTCTTCTGCTTTTCAGAGCAAGCCATCGTGAGAGGGTTAAGGGATGTTACTGCAGCGATTATCAGCAGGCCAGCCATCTACCTTTGGTACTTACAGGAATTTTATGACTCTTGATCATATTATCAAATTCTTCATTAATTTTTTTGTATTTTTCTTCAGTGCGTGGGGTGAGTGCATAAGAGGAGTCGGGATCGGGGCTTTCACAGCCTTTGTTTTCTTTCTTGTTCAATGCCTGCCAGGTTCAGAGAAATATCAAGAGTAAAAAAAAGGAAGGGTGTTGCGAGTACTTACACACAATCTCTGCCTGCTGATCATTAGATCAATATCTTCGTTAATTTTCCTGTACTTGTCCTCAGACTCAGGGCTGTGACCTACTGAATCGTCTGCATCAGGATCTGGGCTGTCACAGCCATTAAGGCCTTTCTTTCTCAACGTCTGAAATACACAATTTGGAGAGTTCAAACCTAGACAAAGGCTGCAAGAGACATTTCAGGGCTGTTACAGGAGTTCAAACAGTCCAGCGTTTCCGGTTATGACACCCTCTCTCTATTCCACCAGGGCTCATCGTTCGCTTAAAAACACACCAGAGAAACTCCTTTTGCGATAAATTCAGTTCAACAAGAGAACAGGAGGGCCCAAGCTTTGTGATATGGAATTCCTAAACACTTCAAGAAATATCAGGTGACAATTACAGCAATACAGTGAAGGTGGGCAAATGACAACATTCATTCTTCCCGCAGAAAAATCAGAAGTCAGGATGTTACACAATGAGTTCAGAATCTGAGATGGTGACAGAGGTAGAAATGCTGGAAACACACTGAACACTCGGGTTGGCACTAATGATGTCCCCATGCACACCCCCACCCCACGCTCTTGACGCCAGGCGGGCATAAGAAAACCTTGCTGGCAGCCCCCCTCAGCACTGATGGAGAGGGTTCAGACACCACGCTTACTTGGAGAGGAACTTTTGTTTGGAGTTCTGCAAATGTGAAAATCTTCCCTGAAATGTATAATACTGAGAAGTTATCTTCCTAAATATAGGCTGGAGGAAAAGTCAAAACAGCTGACTTTGGGCTTCATTATCCTGAGCTGAGTAAAGCAGCCACAGAATACTGCAGATAGGTGGCCGAGCCAGTAACCATCAAGTCAGCTAAGTTCCTCGAGTTTAGCTGAGCGGGAATCACCTGGGAGACTGTCTTCCTGTACATGAAAGTGAAAAGTCAGTGCCTTATCTTGAAGCTCCTGTCTCCTGGCTGTAGGTCTGGTCTAGTTTCAGCTGTCACAGAAGTATAAATACTAATATAACACTGTAACAGTTGGAAAAAGTATGAGTCAAGAGTTCTGAGTTTGACTACTTTTTTTTCTCAAGCTGATGGTTGGTTGTCAACTTAATGATACACAATTCGATTTACAGAGACAATGTTATGTTCTTAGAGATCATAAAACTTCTGATGAATCACATAGCTTGCCATGTTAATTATTACTAGGCTATCAACAGTTCTTAATTTTCCTGTACTATCAAAACTGGTTACAAAGAGATGTGTACCTCTGTGTCTCTCACTAAGTGGAAAGTTCAGAAGAGCTCATCTTTATTAAAGACAGCATTGACACACAAATAAAAAGCTGTAACACAAAGCTAGGGAAATGAAAGCTGAGATAACACCTCATCTTTAATTCATGCAATTGGGGAAAATAAATAAAACAACAGGAGTTTAAAAGGGAGTGTCAGTCTTCAAAATGTAAGCTCCTTAGTTCTTGTTGATGAGGAACAAAAGTAATATTACTTAAAATTAATTTCTGAGGCACCAAAGGTTTTTACTTAATGTCACATTAAGAGAGCTACCATTTCCAATGCATCGAAGATACACTATGGTTCTGTAAATATTTATTAATGTTATAGCAGTATAGTATAACAAATAAACATATGGTTACAGCTTATTATGTGTTAAAATGTTTGAATATTAAAATAAGTATTTTGACATAAGATGATAAAATATACATTTACAACCTTATAATTGGTGGGGCCACCTGTCCCCCTAAAATAGACCTACAGCTATCAGTTTTTATTAATGTCTGCAATACATAATAGTTACATCCTTTTTTGGGAACTGGTGTAAATCGTATCTTGATCATTTTCATCTTTTTCTTCCCTTTCCTACCTCTGTCTTCTCCTTTCCCAATCCCCTTCCTCATCTCTAAAATGTCTCATCTCTATTTTCTAATCCTCCTCCTTTATTTTGTTTTTAAAATTTATTTATATTTTGGGCTTCTCATGTAAGAGAAATCAAGCATTATTTAACTGCCTGTGTCTGACTGATTTGGCTTAATATGGTTTGTTTCAATGTCTGACTTACTTGACTTAGCATCATGAACTCAAGAGCCATCTATTTTTCTGAAAATGACATGATTTCATCCTTCCTTGTCATGCAGCCAGTATCTGTGGCCCAGAATAAGAATTCATAGAAAGTTCCTACACTAATATATAAGGAACTGATGTGATCAGTACCTTAGTGTAACAATCACACTCACTAACTTCATAGATTTTCAGCTCTTGTGTGAACATGATCACACACACACAAGTGCATTCCTCTGGGTGACAGCTATTTGTCATATTGTCATGTGTTTCTGCTTTGATTTGTACAGATCCTTGAGCTGCTAAGAAAAATTTCTGAGTGTCTGGCATCGTATCCCATTTTTCTTCAGAATTCACTTGTGCAAAAAAATTAGGTAAGATGAAGAAATGTGTCTAGGTATATGTTTAATGTATGCATGTATAGATTTCACATATGTGCATATTTATTTCATATATATGTGTGTGTGGATAGATATGCATTTCAAAGATTACTTATGTTTCAGGCATGCTAAGACATTCTTACTTAAAGTCTTATATAATGTTAATTTAGATTCACAATATAGTCTTGGTTTTTCAATGTGCATCAAGTCTTTTATTTGGTAAGTCTTATTGTAAAAATGATACTTGTTTTGATATGCAGATTTTTGACAACAGAACGCAAGGGTTAGGAGAGGCCTATCAACTGCCATCGCAATCCATCTGGCACATACATGTGTGCTAAATATTCTTACAAAGCTTTTGGGGGTAGATATTGTGTTTGGTTTATAAAAATTCAAACATCAATTATGCTTTATTGAAAGATCTCTATAAATATTAACTCGTTATCTTTCACACACCCTTTCTGAAAAGTTTAGAAAGATTTTGGGCCAGAGCTCAAGTCAGCACAGCCAGCCACAATTCGGCCTGGGACATTTCGGGCCTCAGCCTTCTCTGTCCAAGTTTCCTTATGCTCATGGAGTGAGGCAGGCAGATTAGAGCTCTCTCCCAGTCATATTCAACTCCAATAGTTGGTCCAATATTGGACAATGTGGAGTAAATCTTTTAAAAAATTAGGCTGTGGAAGAATTTTAAATATGAATAAATGGGCAAAATATGGGTATTTGTTATGCATCAGGTTTTAGACAAGACTGGAGATGTTCAGTGGCCAAAGAAATCCTTAGCTCATGGTTAGGAAGTCACTCAGAGCAGCAGCTCACCGTGTACCTGAAGAAGTGTGTAATCTGTTAAGCAAACAAAGCAGGCAGGGTAGAGTCACAAAGGAAGTGATAAAGATGAAGGAGGAAAATAAAGGCTCATTTTCTCCCATTAATTCTCCTTCTATGTGACGACATGATCTTGCAATAAATATCACCGGCACTGAACTAATGATTCAAATTATATTGTGTTATTTCAAAAAGGACTCTTTGAGATACACAAACACAAAACCCCAGAGCAAATTAATAACGAGTTCCAAATTCCCATAATCACATAACCAGAACACTGAAAAAATTGTTCAAAAATATTATCCTCAGCTGAGTGCTTGTATAACACGTTTCTGCCAAGAACAAATGATTATGGTGGAATTATAAAGCTCTGAAAATGGAAAGGATGGCACGAACTTGAATATCATAGCATGAATGTGGAACTATAAGAGCAGTTTTGTCTTTATTATATTAAAAATCTACAGCTGTTTAATGATTACAAAGGAATTACGGCTAGAGTCAGCCAAGTCTGTCTATTCACAGTAATGAATAGTCGATATGAACTAAAGGGCTTACTAAATGGATAAATAAGCATTATTCCTGCAGGCTTCCTGCTAGCAAAATCAAAATCTCTGCCATTGGCTTTTGAAAACTTTTCTGATCCTTTACAAATGTCATTGATCAGGTCACGTAAGCACTTAAATTATTATTCTATTACAACAGCTAGAGGTCCTAGGTGTGTGTGTGTGTGTGTGTATGATCTAAAAATAAAATGACTGTTTAAATTTAAAAGGACTGACTTTCCCATTTCCCTCTCTTCAAATACACTTATTCCCTCATTCTTGGCCACTCTGAAGCCATTCCAGAAGTCCTCTTAGTGAGCGTCTTTGATTGCCCTGTCTGGACTGCCTCTATGTCCTGAGCCCATTCAAAATATTTCACTTTTATGGTCATTTGACTCTGTGGAAGAACCAGAAGTTAAAGGGTTCCAGAATGCATCTGTAAGGTTGATCCAGGCGCACCGTAATATTTTAATGAGCCTGTCTTGCTGTTGGATGACACCAGGCAGCATCATTCACAGCACTTTTAATCATATCTCACAAAGACGTGGAGAAGGACTTCAGAACTGCTTCCCAAAGTGGCAAGAATGATGGCATGAGTGTGTTTCAATGAACAGGAGTGTTCTGAAGGGGACTAATGGCAGTGGGTCTTTCACTACAATCAACTTGAAAAATTTAAACATTCACTGCACAGTTTGATTACCGTGTGTGTGTGTTTTAAATGCCTCTCAACTGTTTTAAAAATACTTATTCTATATGTCAAGATAGGGCGAGAAACCTACTGAAACCACCAGCTTCTCTTGCTCTGTTTCTGCAGAACTCTTACCTTAGCAATTTTTTTTTTTTTTTGGTCTTTTTTCCTTTTTATCGGTACCAAGGTTCAAACTCACGACTACCTGCTTGCAAGGCAGGCGCTTATGCCGCTGAGCTAAATCACCAGCCCTGTAAACTCTTACTCTTAAGTGAGCTGATAAACTGGAGCCAGCTTGCCACCAGAAAGAGATGCTTTTGGACTGCATCAGTGGGTTGCGGTGGCTTCTCGGGTGTACTCATAAAGTACCCACTGTCATACACTGAGCTGGGAAGAGCCACTCTGGGGGAAGTAATTAGGCTGACAGAAGGCGGCATACTCTGAAAAATAAATGGGAGAAAGAGTCCAGATAGGTAATTCAAAAACCATGCAGAATCTTTCTCCAGACAGGTGGACATATGGACCTGTGTTATTACATTTGTGCATCGGAATAACTTGAAATATGTATAAACTGATGATGATAGGTGACAGGTGCTTCAAAAATCCTAATGAAATAGATGTAAGGGAACAGATTCTATTTCATTCCTGTA